TGTTTTGATTGGATTTTTGGTTTGAGTTGGTTAAATTTGAAAACGTTGGTATTATTAGTTGTTAATGGGTATATTAAAATAATATTCAAAATAAAATGATTAAAATTAAATTGATGTAAAAGTATGAGAAAGAAAATGTGATGTGAAAGTTAAAATTATGTGACTTGATGAATTAAAGTTGATGTTGTGTGTAAGAATGATTAATTGATTTTATTTAATTATATTGATAATATTGATGATAGTGGGGTTGAGTTAAAGTTGAGTTAAAAAAAAAATAGTTGAGTTAAAAATGATTAGATTTTTTGGACTTTTTAGATCTTTTGTCTGCAAAAGTCTCTATTTCTTTATTTTTGTCCAATATTATATTATATGTCATGCCATTTTTCATGGTTCAAGAGTCTTCAAGAGTCTTCATTGCAATTCACGAATAATAATTATTTTGTATATTTAATTTTCATATTTATTCTTAACAATTTAAGAATGTTATAATAATAATGTATGTGGCTATAACATTATATTCCAGGTACAAAAGCTATTGAGTTCAAGCGACTGTAATTACTTGTGGCTATAGAATGGACTACAATATTCAATTCTTGTGACAGTATTAACGTGCAATAAGAACCTATATATAATTGTAAGTGACTATGTCAAACGGGGGCAAAACGAGTACGGTCCTATACATGTGAAGCGCACAATAAGAGGGTTAGCTCAAATAAAGCTCAAGTGAGGTTCCATCTCAAAACCAATTAATGATGGGGAGAGTAATCCACTAGACATTTACCCTATCAAATCAATGTGGGACAACTCATAAGTAATATTCCAACAGACTATTGATACAATATTTGTGACAATAATATTTCTCACCAGATGGATTATAATATAGTGACAAAATCCACTCGTCACTGCAACATCAATTTTTAGCATTGTTCTAAAAATTGGCCTAGGCGCAAGACGGTGTCCAGCCGCCTCTGATTTGTACAAATTAACTGAAAAAATCGACCATGCGGTTAGGCGGCCCTTAGCTGGCCTAGGCGGGCCCTAGGCGCTCCTCGGCAATAATTTTTTAATTTTTTTTTTTTATTTTGCATAAGAGGAAAATAAAGGATAAATAAAATAATAGCCAAGGATCAATAAACGTGGGCAGCTATATATACAGCTGTTGAATTAGTCGATTGTGTCCGAATGTTCAAGCCGCCGTCGGTCGTCGATGGAATCTTACACATAAAGCTACCGACTTGTTCTAATAATTCAGCTTTCGAAAAGAAATCTCCCTATATATAATTTTCGAATGCGCTGAGCCTACTTGGCTATTTCTGGTGCTTCGGAATTCTACTTGGCAAAGAATCATGCTTTGTAATAAAGTTTGGACAAATAATATTGATATATTAATAATTAATAATCTAAGTTCGGACATTCCATAAATATTAATTAGCTAACTTAGGTATTTTAATATTACTTGTTCTAATATAACCCTTTAATTCTTTGAAATTTTACATAGTAAGACACTAAATGACTAATATATCCTTGACTTTTGATTTGTTTCCTTCAATTAGTTATTGAATTGTAAATGTATTTTAAAAGTTGATAACTTTTGTATTTCTTATCGATTTTTACATATATAATATATCAAATTAATCATCTTTTGATGATCTTCGATTTGACATCCATATTGTATATATGAAATAAATAAATTATATTTATCTTTATAATAATAAAAAATAATAATATTTATTAAAATTTATTAGAAAAATAAAATTATTTCTTAATTGATATATTTATGTTTAATGTAGTTATATGTTGTAAGTTAAAAAAATTATTATAAAATAACATATGTAAGTCTGCACAAATAAAAAGTGTTATACTAAATATATAATAATGTATATAATTTTATAAAAGGTATTTAAATTTTCAATTATTTTTTTTCATTAATTTTAAATTTAAAGAAAAAAAATTAGCAAGCACCGTGTAATACACATGCGTTGTACTAGTGTTTAATAAATTAAAATAAAAACTTTCTCTACCTTTTTGTTGAAAATATTAAACATTAAAACATATTTACATATAATGAGTTTTGTGCCCGTTAGTAATTATATCAATTAGTCAATCAGCCAAATTATTAATTAGCCTCACTAGTTTAATATATTGATCTATTTGGGAGGAATTTTCCTATTACAAAATTATATTCAATTTTATTGAATGAATGACACATCTTTATGATAATGTTATAATTATATATGTGTCAATATGAAATAAAAAACATAATCTTAAATCAGGTAATATTTTCTTTGACTATACAAAGAGATACAATTTATCCACAATCAAGCTAAATAATATATATATATATATATATGGATTGGTTCCAATGCATTCACATTTTTAAAGTGAGAACGTGAGGCTCATTTCTAGCCACAAGATTTGGTACATAATGTGTGGCCAAGATTTAATCTTTTCTTTTTATTATTTTTATTATTTAAATATTATTTTGACCCGTTGACTCGACGTTGACCATTGGTTCCCGGCGTTGACCGTTGACTCCGGCGTTGACTTCCGGTGAAAATCCGTTGACTTCCGGAATTGACCGTTGACTTCCGGCGTTGACCGTTGGCAACTAAACTTGCAATTAAATATAAATAACCTAGCATGCTATGTTAATTGTCTGATGGTGCTAGGTTAGTTGTATGATTGTGGTAGGTTAGTTGTATGATTGTGCTAGGTTAGTAGTAGCTAGGTTAATTGTCTAATGGTGCTAGGTTAGTTGTATGATTGTGCTAGGTTAGTTATCTGATGGTGCTAGGTTAGTTTTCTGATGGTGCTAGATTAGTTTTCTGATGGTGCTAGGTTAGTTGTATGATTGTGCTAGGTTAGTAGTTGCTAGGTTAGTTGTATGATTGTGCTAGGTTAGTTGTCTGATGGTGCTAGGTTAGTTATCTGATGGTGCTAGGTTAGTAGTTGCGAGGTTAGTTTTGTGATGGTGCTAGGTTTTTTTTTTTTTAAAACAACGCCCCAGGGGCGGGGGATTGGGCTGGATCCCCAACCTGTACATAGATCAAGACCCCAAAATGGGCCCAAATATCAAACAACTACAGTCGACATAGTCTCACAATCAATAGGAAGACAAAAACAGAAAAAAAAGAAAGGAAATACTACAAGGTCTGTCATCGGGCTAACAAGTTAGTTGTATGATTGTGCTAGGTTAGTTGTCTGATGGTGCTAGGTTAGTAGTTGCAAGGTTAGTTTTCTGATGGTGTTAGATTAGTTTTCTGATTGTGCTAGGTTAATTGTATGATTGTGCTAGGTTAGTTGTCTGATGGGGCCTAGGTTAGTAGTTGCAAGGTTAGTTTTCTGATGGTGTTAGGTTAGTTTTCTGATTGTGCTAGGTTAGTTGTCTGATTATGCTAGGTTAGTTGTCTGATTATGCTAGGTTAGTTGTCTGATGGTGCTATATTAGTAGTTGCTAGGTTAGTTGTCTGATGGTGCTAGGTTAGTTGTCTGATTCTGCTAGATTAGTTGGTTGATGGTGCTAGGTTAGTTCTTTGTAGTTGTAACTACATGATGAAAATTTGCAAGGTCACATAGCAAAACTTTGAAAGACCATAACTTTGCGTAGAAAGCTCCGTTTTGGATGAATTTTTTTTTTATTTGGGGTATCTCGACGAGATCTACGCAGCTGCAAACTGCCGCTGCCCAAATTTTCAAAAAAACGTTTTTTTTTTTTTGCTTTAATTTCATTTTTAAGAAAAAAATACATTTTTTTTGTATTTTTAACCTCTATATC